TTTTGAGAGATTTTTGCTATAGGGCACGTGTGCTCACCAGACAGACAGAGAGAGACATAGAGACAGAAAGCGAGAAATCACTCCCCAGGGGAGATAATCACACCACAATCCCTTCTCCTCCATTCTTCTCTCAAGATCTTGGGCACACACGCACACACACCCGGGGTGAGATTTAAGCCACCGGATCCGGGACGTGAACAGCGGTCGACTACGTGGGAGTCCAGCGACATAGCCATTACGCTAACTGCTGGTTCCCTATATGTATATGTTCTTAAGTGCCAAATTATTAGCCCAAGGGGCACCTGATACCTTATTCTGGCCCTGCTCCCCAGGACCTGTTCACTGTGAAGTAATCACCCGAGATGTCGTCTGTATTCCCAACTTGAGTTTGAAGGACCATGTCCTGTTGTGTTACCAGATGCTAGCACAGCCTTTGGCTGGATAGATACCCAAGACATTTTTCTGGATCGACTCCCCAAATCTAGGCTAAGCTAAATAACTTCCTGGAATGCTGCAGCTTCACTACCAGCCCCTTCACAAGCCAGTTTCTGACCTTTTCTTAAGTGTAACTTTCATTGCTTAAGGATGTTTGAATTTAATTAATTAATAATAATTTTCTTGCTAGAGAGTACACGAGCTTGGAAGAAGGAGAAAGAGAAAGCACCCCCAAACTGGGTGCAGTCACACTGTCATCTTTTTTTCCTTTTTTCTCCTCTCATCAGGAATTTTGGCACACACAGGCATGCACCTGGTGTGTTTGTCTAGCTGTTAGGGCACAGATTCACACTGTAGTTGGTAGTTGGTCATATGAGATCTAGCTCCCTAAACCACAACAGTACAAGGTCAGCCCAGAATATTTCAGTTTTATAAACAAAATTTCCTAGCTGGTTTGTGGTAATCTTTCTTTTCTTAAAAAAAAAAAAAAATTTAATTCCATTTGTTGTTATTGTTATTATTATTTTACTTTGACCATAGAGAGAGGAAGGGAAAGTGAGAAAGCAAGCGGTCAAGTCTGGGACTCCAACCACAGCCAACCATGTGGGAATCCAGCACCTTTAACCACCACACCAATTGTCGGCCCAAGTTTGTGGTAACCTTTCACAATGTATACATTCTGTGATACAAAGTACATCAAAACATCACCTTGTTACTATATTCCATTTTTATTAGTCAATTATTTTTTAAATTATTTTATTCAATTTCATTTATTCATTCATTCATTTATTTTAATTTGACGAGAGAGAGAGAGAGAGAAAAGTAAGAAAGCAAGCCACCAGGTCCACGACTCAAACCATAGTCGGCCATGTGGGAGTGTCCAGCACCTTAACCACCACACCACTTGCTGGTCCCCTATTAGTCAATTATACTTCAATAAATCTTGGAAAAATAAGGATAGCCCTGTAACACAGTGGTTAAGGGCTATACATAGGGATCCCACATGGCCGACAGAAGTTCAAATCCTGGCCCTGGGAGCATCCCTAAAATCCTGATAAGATGGAGAAATGGAGGAAAAAGGATTGCAGAGTGACTACTGCTATGGAGGGAGGGGTTTTATCCCTCTCTTTTGCTAGTGCATGCATTCTCTGGAAAAAAGAAAAAGAAAAAGATTTTAAAGCTGGGAAAAATTTTAAAAATCTAAATATCTTAAAATATAACATGGGGACCAGCAGGTGGTATGATGACTAAGGTGCTGGACATTCTCACATGGCTGACCACCGTTCGAGTCCTGGACCTGGTGGCTTGCTTTCTCGCTTTCCCTCTCTCTCTTTCTCTCTTTATCTCTGTGTGTGTTGCTCTCTGGTCAAATTTTAAAAATAAGTTAACAAATAAATACAATAGTGCTGGATTCCCATATGGCCAACTGTGGTTCAAGTCCCAGACCTGGTGGCTTGAAAACCATGCTAGGCACATGCTCAGGTGTGACCAAAATCTCAGGAAAAGAATGGAGGAAAAAAGATTACAGCCTGATCATCCATTCTGGGAGGTAATTTCTCACTTTCTCTCTCTCTGTCTCTCTCTCTCCAGAGAGAGCATGCACCTATGACAAAAACCCTAAAGATATAATATATACCACTTGTTAGCCTAATGCCACTATTTCCCTCCTTTTGTCCCCACTCTAGGCATATACAATTACTTGTGGGATCAGCAGATGGTGTAATGGTTATGTTGCTGAACTCCCACATAGTGGACCGCGGTTTGAGTCCTGGACCCTGCATCTTAAAACTCATGCTGGGTGCGTGTGTGAGCATGCCCAAGATCCTGAGAGGAGAATGGAGGAGAAGGAATGGTGGCATGCTCATCCCCTGGGGTGGGAGTGATTTCTCACTTTCTGTCTCTCTGTCTCTACAGTGAGTGTACATGACCTGTAGCAAAAATCTCTATAAATAAATAAATAAATAAAATTACTTGTTGTTATGTGCCATATTATTTCACATACATATCTTTGTCTAATCCCCCCCATGAATTGTTTGGTTGTATTGCATCTTTTCTTACCTTAGGCTTGATCTGTATTCTCTTTACAAAAGCCACTGGCATATTGAAACTGTGAATGGTTGTGATGCTAAATGTGGAAGACTAAGATCAATACACTAAAGCAGTGAGTTCACCTCCAGCCTTGCTAGCTGGAGTAGCTAATACTGCCTGTGCCTCATAAAATGGAGATAATATTATCTATGTCTTTGGATTGTTGTTTGAATTAAATGAGATAATAAGTGGAAAGTACTTGGTTTAGTTCCTGAAACCTTGTGAACACTTTAATGTTAGATAATACTATTTCTCATTAATTCTTATGATCATTTATTAGCACTATCTTAAAAATGAGTGGATTGCTTTGAGAAGCAGAGTTCCCTTTTACTGAAGATATGCAAGGGACAGTAAATCCAGGAGAGGTGTAATAGAAGCAATTCCTGGGGCTGGCAGGTGTTATGGTTGTTGGGGGCCCTGGAGTTCCACATGGCCAACCACGGTTCGAATCCTGGACCTGGCAGCTTGTTTTCTCACTTTTCCTCTCTCACTCTGCCACTCTGTGGTCAAATTAAAATATATAAATAAATGAAGGTAAATAATTCTTTCTTTTTTTTTTATAAGAAGCAATTCCTGAAGTGAAAAAAAATTAGATGACCTCTAAGTATATGTCTAATCATAGACAAGGGAACCACTTTCACTGATTCAAAAAAAAGTGTGATCATTACTGTTACTTCTAGCAAAACTGAGGAGTCTTAGAACAGAAAAAAGGGGGGCACTAGATTTGACTGTATATATATATATATATATATATATTACAAAGAACAAGAAATTTTATTTTTTGTAAACAGTTTATTGCAAAAGCCCTACAAGAAAATCCATCTCTTTTCAAAAAGGACTAGTTGGCCCTGCCAAAATGGCACAAACAAAACCTTAAAGACAGTTTCCAGGCCTACTGAAATGTCCTTTCCCTTTGAAGGAAGTCTATTAGTGATGCAAATACGAAGTTATCTGCACAGATGATAATCCCAGCAAACAAAGTCCTGAAACCATTAGAACGTTTTCCTGCTGCATTTGGTCCTGAGAATTTGGCTTTCCATATTAAAAAGGCAGAGAGGGAGAGAGAGAGAGAACTGGTTCTTATTCGGGATAGTTTGTTAGGGCCACTTATCTGTGTGCTGTTGCTAATTATCTCATGTTTGGCCTAAAGAGGCCAAACAATTCTCCAAATGTGGACATGCTGGAAGAAGGCCTGGACTCTCTCCTCACCTCCTCCCTCCACACCACCCGCCAACCCCACAAGCGCCTTAAACGAGCAAAAGCAAGATCCTTGGCTATGGAATAAACTTTATGTTAAAGTCAGGAGTTTAATTCTCAAGATATCAGAGCCCAAGGAAGTTCCACCTAGAAGAAATTTGATGATGTACTCCTAGGGTAGTAATAGAAAGGATGATAATGTCATCTTACTGATGCTTTAAAACAGTTTGAGAGACTACCTGTATGGCTGAAGAAATTACCATTTTCCAATTTTAGTGAATAGATAGTAAACAATTTTTTTGAGAATTTAGTAAATATACAATTTGGCTGTAAGCAAGAGGATTGGACAGATTTTTTAAATGTAAGTTGTCTGCTTGACCACTGTTTGAGTATACCTAGATTATCCTTAACAGGTATGATGAGACCTAGTTTCTCAGAAGCCATCAGGCATTAGGGAATATTAGTGGTTAGGTGTGGTGCCTAAGATTAGGAAAACATTTAGGAAGCAGAAAATCCAACGTTGATACAGTCGAAGAGACCATCACTAAGTTGATGAAAGCTTTTGGAAATGCCTAATAGGCAGTTAATTGAGAAAGGGAAATGAACGTTCCATTGCCCACACTCCTCAAAGCATTCATAACCGGAGTTGGTGTCCACACAGTTGGGAGGCAATGCTTACATTCTGGGGCTTAAGCAGGGTGGAGCTCTGGTAAGGTTAGCCCACAGAAAGGGCTTCTTGATGACCACGTGTTTACGTTTGAGGTGCAGGAATGGATACAGTCCACGCTCCACCCTCAGCAACCTCTTTGTAGAGTTGCTTGACAGCTCGGACAATGCCCGCCCACCTTTGATAATCCAGCCCTCTGGGACCAGGGAGGTCAATCACTGCTTTAGTTCTGCGCTCCGTCTGCCTCCCACGCCCTCCCCCACTCTCCAAGCCGGTGTCGGGAAAGCGGGGGGCGCTTCCCTTCACGCCCTCCCCCCACCACCCAGCTTCCCAGCCCTGTCCACCCCACTCACCTCTCTGGCTGCCTAACCAGTATTCCCTCTTTTACACCCCAGCAGGCCGACTCCAAGGGCCCGAGTGTTCTGAGCCAGAACATCTCCTTTTTCTCGGAGGCTTTCCTTACGGCGCGTTGGGCGAACCTTGCCCACCATCCCAGAGAGGCTATGACACCCCGTTGTACTCTGGCTGCAGCTTCATGAAAAGAGAGAGAGAGAGAGAGAGAGAGAGAGAAAGTTTGGGACGTTGGCTGTCTTGCCAATTAAAACCATACTACCTGCTCGGGACCGGGACCAGGTCCGGCAGCGTCAAACTTTGTGGTTGAGGGGAGGCAGAAGCGGCCAGGAGCCCTTTAGGCGCGCGGAGCTGGAGCGCGCACGGGGCAGGGCGCGTGCGGGGCCTGCGAGCGCTCCCTCCGGGATCGCGGCTGCGCAGTCGCACGCGAGCCGGGAAAAGGGGAGGAGGGGGAGGAGCCGGAGGAAGGGGAGGGGGAGG